CTCAAGGCCTAGTGGGCCAGGATGTGCTCCAGTCTCTCCTCCTCCCCCGTCATCTGCTCCTGTGTGCTCTGGTCAGATATATCCTTCTCCCGAAAGGATATCCTTCAATCTGTTTATATGTCTCAATATTTTAGAGAGTACCAACAAACAATGGCAATACAGAATACAGAATTTTTAAAATCAAAACACACTTGTCTTCATATTTGATATAGTGGATTTGTATCATTCTATTTTTTTGTATCACTCTATTGATGAGCTTGTTGTGTTAACTTTTTGTTTGAAGTTTCATGTAAGAAACATCCAGTTTTGTGATGTATTTATAGTGTAGATCGCAGTTATTTGCGTACTTCAAAAAAGACTAAAATCTTCCTTATCTCTCAGAGGAACTAAAGTAATTATAATGCATCTATCTCTAAGGTCATTTCTTCTCCAGAGTAGCTGTAACAGAGAACCACTTTTGAATGTCCAGCGTAATGCCCAACCCCACTGCTGTTGAGTCAGTGCCAACTCATAGCAACTGCATCGCCTTCATTATTGCTCTCTAGTTTACGTCGCTGGGTTCTAATATCCATGCACGCCTACCCAGAATTCACAAAATTCATGACGAGAGGGCTTACTAAGGAGGTAACAAGTTGCAATGCCAGTGAGAAACGCTCAGGGTGTTTTTCAGGCCTGCTAATCAGTGCTCAAAGGGGTACACCTTTCCACCTTAATCCTCAACCCCAAGGTATTCAGTTCAGTCTTCTCCCTGAATTAAGTGCCCAGAGGCACCCCACAAGCCATCTCCTGCCCTAGAGCACTCAGCTTTACGTGCTCTCTTTGGGAGTCCTTCACTGTTTGATGCTTGAGCCAGATGTGCTGCTCCTTCTCGGGTGCTAGAGCTCTCTGTGCAGGGATCTTGGGTGGAGAGGACACGTTCCACTCCTGGCTCTGCTTCTCAGAGGGCTCATTTTACACGCAGCAAGATGGCACTCCAGGGAATCCTTTCAGTATCACCCCCACCTTCTCACCAGCCCCACGCAGGGAAAGGTCCTTTGGTGGGTGTGAGAGACTGGCTAGAGGGGCCAAATTTCATAGTGCACTGTACCTGTGTCAGTCAGGTGTCTAAGGCTGTAAGTTTTTCCAGAAGCAGAGTGCCACCTTTTTCTTCAGAGCAGCTAGTGGGTTTAGACCACTGATCTTTGGGTTAGCAGCTGAGCAATTTAACCACTGTACCAACAGGGCTCCTGTCAAGCATACTGCTTTTAAGAAAATTCTACATAAGTCGTACTTTCCAAAGTTTAAAGTGCCTGGCTAATTGTAATACATTAGCAACAGAAGTTGCACATTTTTCCCAAATATTTTTTAATTCAAACTTTAATACATTAAGTTTATTCAAACTTAAATTCTGTTTTTGTCATGGGATAAGTTAGGTAGTATAGAGTTATATGCTTCCTGTTCTCAAGATATTCTTAACGTCGCTGCCCAGATACCTGTGACTCATGGTGTTTGGATTCAGCTACGAAAATATTGTAACTGATTGTACTAAGTAAATACATGTTTTGAGTGCAGCTGTCAGAAAGTATCCGGGTGTGTTTTGTTCTTGTTGTTTTGTTTCCAGTGAATAATACTAAAAAGTTCCATTTCCTTTTATTCTGTAATATTGTAATCCCCAATGCCAGCTTGCTCTCCTGCTTTCAGTCTTTGGTAGGGAATGGTGGGTTTGATATATGTATTCATCTTCGAATCAAAGAGTTATTTATCTTGTCTGTGTTCCTTTGGGGAAATTAATATTTGAGATTCTTACTTTAATTTATTAAAGGAGGTGAGTCACTCAGACTTACTTGGAGTAGTCATAGTTTCTTAAATCTTTTTACCTGCTAGAATTGGTGAGAAATACTGTAGAACCTCATTGCCTTTTAGCATTTTTTTTTTCTTTGCTCAA